GATTCAACAATACACTTTTCATGATTCATCAAATTGCTCCAGCCACTGCACAGATCCATGACTAACATACAGAAGTATCAGCTTTGGAAGTGTTAACATTTTAGATGCAAAGGCCCTTAAATCCAACAAATCCTTAAAGCGTGAATGACATCACGAAACGGTCATTTCTTCTTTACAAGGTTTGAAATAGGGTAACATACTTTGTTCTAAGTGTTTGTAATGGGGTTCTCTACTCACCACTGGGGCGCCTCCTTGTGCCTGTGTCAGGGGAATAGCTCCACCTAGTCTGATGCCCCTTCCTGTCTCTCATTTGCCCTGTGGCCCTTCTCATGCTCCAGAAGTTGCAGTGCTTCCTCTTCAAGACTCAGGACACTTCCTCTTCGTGGCTTGACCCTCTGGCCAGGTCACTATAGCTTTTCCCTTCCAGGGTATCAAAGTCTCACTGATTCGCTGACTGGTATGGTTCCCAGCAGTCCTCCAGTTCAAGGCAATGCCTCTTCCCCAGTGGCTGGTAGAGGAGCCCAGGCCTGCCCTCTACTCTGGGTACAAGCTCAGGGACCCTTGAATCAGTAACTAAGGTCTGCATCATCCCATGCCTTGCTGCTGTTTCCCTGAGCTTTTTCCTTCCCCACTTCTATCTGGCTTCTGCTCCATCATCCTTCTGGGTAAGCCCACGATCCCAGGGATTCTACTCTCCCCCTGCGTTTTCTCCCTTCCCTCTCTACGCCCAGAAAGCGACTGCAGACTTTCACAGTGCAGCCTCCTTCTGCCCTGATGCCCCAGCCTTATACCAGCCCTGCCTGCTACTGCCTAGCTGACTCCATCCTCAATCAGTGCATGCCTATCAATTCTCCTAATTCTCCTTCAGGTGTGGCCTATCAGGTTACTTAACCCCTTCTGAGCCACATTAACCCTTCCCCGGCGAGTGTGGGGGGTGAACGCCCCATCACAGTGTTCTTAAAGAATATGAAATTCAACTGAAAATGTAATAATGAAGCCATTATTACTATTACATATTATTAGCTAGAGCCTCCAAAAATTAATGTTGTTAATTTCTGACACCATTTCCAGTGATAACCTATCATACCTACATATATTTTCTTCTTCACACACTGTGTCACCGTTTAGACAAAGAAAAAAGCTAGGATTTCACCAGCTTTATAGAAAATGTTTTACCAACATGTGCTCTGTAAAATCCATAGGTACACCTCGTAAATAGCTTTTTGGCTGATTTTACTAACAAAGCCTGCAGAATGGACACACCACACCCACACCTAGAAAAGAGTTGAGTCTGTAATTTATTTTTCCATAAAGCCTTTTTCCCCCTCCCATGCAAATTAGATGAACTAGCTAAAAAGGGCACGGCCAAAAGAGAAGAATACCCTGTTGTGATGCCTGATCAACTAAATACTTAGGGGGGGGGGGGGAGGGAGAAAAGGCTACTGTGTGTGCATCAAAATGCCCCTAGGGCAGCTTTCAATGGCACAGTTAATGTTTATGGAATAAAGACCTACTTATGGCACATGCAGTCATGGTTTCTCTCACCATTACACTCACCAAAACCATCACTTGCATGGTACATCTCTGCCTTCAAGGAAATAATGCAATGCACTTTCTGTACTTAATATTGTCGCTGAGAGACAGAAAAACAACAGATTACATTTTCTGATGATCTTATGTGTGAATCATTAGCCCACACACATGTAAGGTCAAATCGTGGGCCCTCAGATTTGGCGTGGAGCTTAAGGGAGATGAACAGTCTGGCCTTCAGAGACATTTCTGGATCCTGAAGAGGTAACTCCTTTAATATGGCTACAAAGCCTTCACACAAATATGCAGCCCCCATATCTGCCCTTCTCAGAACAGGAGTCCATGAATTTGCCCCACCTCAATGCTGTGGGATGAGGCGGAGGAGCAAGGTGGTTCCCTCAGGTGAACTGACAGGCAGCTACAGAACACCTTGAAGGGGCTGCTGCGCATCCCTAACAGTGCTGTCCCTGGCCCACGTCTCTGCAGCGGAGCTCTCTCCTTGCATAGCACTCAGAGGGAGTGTGCATCCCTTCTATCACCCTGTTGCCCAACCCCCACTAGCCTCAGGACCAGAGGAGCTAAAGCTGTTCCCCTGGAAGTGAGGATGGAGGCACTGCTGTTTGGTATATTTAAAACTAAGCTGGAAAGATCCCAGATACATGGACAATAAGGGGTAATCTTGCAGTGGCAGGGAGATGAACTAGGACTTTGCCATATCTTATTCACTTTTAGCATCTTATGACACATAGGTAAGTCACACACGAAGCAACAGAGCACAACAAAGCAGTGTTTCAAAATTCACATTAAATGGGTTTAGTTCAGTCCTCCATCCTCAGTGGAGTTACACTGGTGTGAAAGAATCAGGCCCATGTGCTTAAGAAATAACTTCCCTCCAGCCTAAAGAAGTAGGAACTAATTTCACAACCCTAAATGCTCTTATTTTTGTCAATGCAAAGGTTCAGGCCCAGCTGATGTAAATCAGCATTGCTCCATTAAAATGAATAGAATAACACCAGTCTACACCAGCTGGGGAGCTGGTCCATATTTTTTTTTAAATACAGGGTAAACATTAATTCTAGGCCTGGAAGGTCAGGGCATCTCGAGAAACCTTTAACCATGATAAGCACTAGGCTACAAACTATAAGAATTGACCCATCTTTTTAGATAGCGGAGAATCTAGAAATAAAAATGGATTTTAAATAATGGAGGAGAAGGCTATATAATTAAACTATGCTCTGGTCTATTCATATGAGTCAGGGTTTGCAGGACTGGGTCTTTTGGGTTCTGAAACAAGTAAAGGAGAAACTGGTACCACATTTTGTTTTGAAATATATTAATTCATAACGTTTACACAGAAATTATTTTATTAATTTAGAATTTTGAACATTTGGCTGATTCCTTTTTGGTAAACAGTTTTGCTTCACTTTGAAGGGCAGTACTCAGGATTGCTTACGCTGGCTAAATGCCCGCTGACTTCGCAGTGCCTCTCAGTCTCATTTACCCTAATTTCTGTTACCTATTCCTGAAGCATCACACTTTTGCTTTAACTTTTAGCCTGTCCTGCAGAGTTGTCCCCTGTAGTTTGGATAATTGCTTTCTTTCATACTCATCCAATTACAGATAAATATTTGACCCGACATAGAATTAGCTGTTGTCTAATGGAAGCCCTTACCAAGTTATAGCTTTAGATCAGGAGACTCAAGTGTACCAAAAAAGTGGAAACCAGAAAGAAAACTGATCATACTTAGTCCTGCCTCAGTGCAGGAGACTGGACTAGATGATTTATCGAGGTCCCTTCCAATCCTACATTTCTATGACTCTATGGTTTGTAGACATTACAGCTGAAATCCTGTTTCCACTGAAGTCAATGGCCAAAGTTCTATTAATTTCAATAGAGCCTATACAGGTCTTCCAGTTTGTGTAATATCAAGCAGAGCTAGTGTCTGGTGGGACATGGTACCACCTTTGCTGCTCCAGAAACACTACTTGGTGCAGTTGCTGCATGCCAACTTGAGGAAACCATTGATACTGTTGAACAACAAAAGAAAAGATCCACTATTCTCCCTCCTACTTCACCACTGCCGAAAGGCTAAGAGCTTATTATACAGCTAGTGAGAATGAGCAAATTTGCAGCAGGAGATATCTACACCACCTGTGCTAGTCAAAATTCAGCCAACATAGCCTGAGTTGCCAGCTGCGGATGGAAACCAAGAGTAGTGGCTCTGGATCAAGTACTAAGTCAGTTTTGGAGGCATAATATTAGTGCCAGTGGTCCCATTTAGGAGTCGAGGGGCAGTAGTTTGGTACTCCTCACAGTAATAGATTTTAGGCCATGTTTAGCTTTGTTAGTTATGTTTTTTGTTATATTCTATTTAATGCCCAGAGGCCTAATTTGTAATTCTAATAATAAAAAGTATTCTAAAGCCCTGGCCAAACACAAGCAGGTTCTAATTCTATTTCGCCTCAAAGAAAAGAGCTAAGTTGTTAAACCCCAGCTTCTTACAATATTTCCTCTTTGTGACATACACAAAAATCTGAATCCAACAGTGCTCACCCATAACAGTTTTAACTCAATCTATCTGATCTTGTATAAAGTTTTACCTTCTATACTTTCTTTTTACTGTTACTTGCAGCATTATGACACAGCTGATATGCTGGGTAGACAAGGCCTTTTGCAAGATAAACTGCAGTTACAGCAGCAAACAGTTCTAGAAAGAGGAACTCTTGATCCCACAAAGTTTTTCTTTACTCGTAGGCTTTTCTATGGTGCTCATCACCACAATATCTTAGCACCACATAAACATTGATTAATATAATCATCCAACTCCTCTCTGTGAGATAGGGCACTACTGTTATCCCCATTTTACAGATGGGAAATTGAGGCATAGCGTGATCAAGCAACAGAGGGAGATGGCAGAGTCGGGACCTGAATCCACAACCCCTCAGTGCTTTAACAACAAGACCATCTTCCTCACTTGGAGGAACTCCAGTCTTTGCAGCAACAGCTTATTTCCTACACATCATTTTTGTCCCTTCCACAACTGATCACTTAAAAAATAACTGGCCTTAGCTGCCCTTCTCTTGGACTAAGCAAGACAAGAATACTGTAATTTTTATGATGAACAACTATTCTGTCTTCCAGCCTTCAATATTCTTTATTAACTTTAAACAGGCAAGCCCAGAGGCTTTTGCACTGGACTAATTTGGACTAATCTGACTATTTATTTATTGATATATTTACGACAGCTTGGTGAGCCCATCTGCCAGATAGTTTTTTGGACGCTCCTGGAGTTCTGCGAGTCTGCCCTAGGTAATAATACATATAGGCAGTAAGGTTTTTCCTGGCTAGACGGGAGGCAGGGAGGTCAGATGGGCAGGAGTAAGGGCAGGTGAAGAAAACAGAGGAGGGTCAGGTCAAAGTGGATGCAATGCCTTTTCAATTTATTTTATTTCTGGTTTTATATTAACAGCTACAGTGGACAACTCTAGGGATTGTACTGGCACATACGACTAGGAAGGACTGAAGTCAGAAGACAGCCATTGAAGAGTGGTAAATAAAGTCATAATGCTGGTCTACAAACAAATTGCCCCAGTTAAACAACAAGTGTGATAATGAACTGATTTAGGGCTTGTCTACACTTACAGCGCTGCAATGACACCAGTGCAGCTGCGCTGCTCTAGCGCTTAGTGAAGATGCTACCTACACTGATGGGAGAGCTTCTCCAATCAGAAGAGGTACTTCACCTTCCCAAGAGGTGGTGGAGAAGCCCTCCCACCAACATAGCACTGTCTATATTGGGGGTTAGGTCAGCATAACTACATCATTCAAGGGTGTGGATTTGCCATACCCCGGAGTGACATAGTAATACTGACATAATTTGGTAGTGTAGACCAAGCCTTAGTTAAACTGCTTCAACTGCATTTGTGGACTCTCCTATTAGTTTTAACCTGGCTTAGCTTGCTCCTCATGTAAGGCAAATTTAAAGTGATGTAAGAATGTCCACATACACAGTCGCACAAGTTTAGCTAAATTGTTAAATCTTTGCCATTTGTGTGTGTGTAGAACAGACCATAGGGGGCCAAATTAACCTCCTGATATATAACTTTTCCGATATTAAGAGTTATGCCAAGTTGGAAATTGCCCTGGAACCTCATAAATCAAAATAGTCTCATTTGTAGGTTGTTGTTTTTTTAAAAACGAAGCTCAGATTATTAGCTCCTGAATATTAAATTTCAACTCTCTGTCAAGAATAGACCCAACTGGAGAACAAGCAAAAATCTGGATGAAAAGTTGGAGCATTTGAGAGGTATTGGAACAGTTACCTACCTGGCAACAATCCCAGATTTGATCCAGAGGTTAGCTGAACTGCCCAGCAGTTATTGCTATATTTGCCATGTTTGAAAATAAGCGTTTTGGGGGAATGTTTCATTATTTTTCCTTCACTTCCAATTCCAGAATCTTGCATTCTGTGCCAAAAAAATACTGAGAATTCCAGTATTTGTACAACTGTAGTTCCCCAATGTGAATGCAGTTACTAGGACACATTTAACACAACAGTAAAACAATTCAAATTTGTGCTGCTACTTAGCTCATGTTAACGGAAAGTATTTTCAATGAGTTGGGTTCTTAGTAGCTTACTTAAGGATACAGAATATGTATCCTATTAAAGAACTAATAATTCCATCATGTGCAGATTAATAGCTTTCTACTGGACCACTAGTCATGGTGACTTCTTAATAAAACTTTTTTAAAAATAGAAATTAACCTAACCTCTTTGCTGACAGTGCTGTAGCTGAAATGGAAGAGACAACAGGGAAACACTGCTCACCTTATTTAGATTGGGTAATTAAACACAGCTAATAGGAGTGGAGATAGAAAACATACTAAAGGACCCAATCTTGCAAACACTTATGCAACTGTGCCTTATTCATGTGAGCTGTTAAAGACAGTGGACCAAATTCTGCAGTCCTTAATCAAGCAAAACTCCTCCACAAAGAGATGATTAAGCTCTTCCTTTGAAAAACACAAAATATATAGTCCCTCTTGTAGGGTTATGACAGCGCAGATACTCATAGCCTGTGGATTTCAGAGCATTAATTGCTAATCCACAACTGAACTGAAAGGTTTTGGTTTGTTTGTTATGTTTTTACAGTACTTAGTTAAACTTGCCAACCTTCAGTTTCCAGGAAGTCATATTTAAGTTTCTTAGCAAAATACTTTATTTAAGGAATCCCCACTTTGTGAAAGATCCATTTCTCATGGTCAGCTATCCTTCCATATTTGTTATGCTGGTTTCCATGAATATGTTTAATAATGGGTGGTTTGCTTATATGCAAAATCTAGGGTTTTTTTTTTTTAAATGGAAAGCGTATACCTCTCCCTGAGAAGTCAAACCATGAAGTCCTGGACTAAAGCACAATATAAAAGTTTCTACTTTCCTTACATGACGTTCAAGGATTGCTGTTTATCAGTGACAAATAGAAAGTACTTAGTATAATTATTATAGCTCAGATTCTAGCCGTAGGTGATTGCAGCTATAAAGTTTCCCGAATAGGAACAATGAGCCCTATGAAACTAATGAAAAAAATCGCCAACTTCCTCACTCCAAAGTCTGATTTTTACAAGGACTCCATTTCTTTTAGGTTGCCAAAAATGAACAGTTTATTTGAATCTAAGTTAGGTCTTCAGGAAAAGAACTGTAATGTAAAATTGAATAATGTTGCACCAATGACAGGATAATTAAGCAGTTTAAAAACCCAACAATATTTCGGTTGCTCTTACTGTAGCATGTCCCAATAATGGAAATATAGAAGTCCTATTCTAATGTTAGTTTAGTTAAAGATACCAAAAATCTAGTGGTACCCCATGCTATATCAGTGTCCTGTAATCAGGTGAATTAGAAGTGTAATGACTGCTTTGACACAAACTGGTATTTAATATGCTGAAATGTACCAGATTTTTCCCTTCCCCAGGCATTAGTAAAATCCCCAAGATAATTAAAATCCAGGTCATAGCTAAATTCCTTTGAAACTGGGATTTAAATAAAAGAGTTTCTTTGGTGTAAGAATTTTTTGCGCAATTACATTTTTATAAGGTTAAAGTTAAAAATAAATCCAAAATCTTTTTAGGAGAGAACATTTAAAAACAGACCTAATGTGTTCCAAAACTCATCACACATGTGCCTGTCAAACAGATGCTTCCCCATAAATTAATTTAAGCAACTTTCTTCTCCAATCAGAGAAGAGAAAAGAGCTGTTAAGGGCCGTTTTTTGGGGTGACATTGTTTTGACTGACAAATCTTTCATGCTCTGATTCTGTCATTCACATCAATTATATTTCTCAAACATCTTTTTGAAAATGAAATGAAAACGTGTATCACTTGGTAGAGCAAAGAAATTGGAAAACTGTTGATTTTTAGTTGGCTCCATCCATGCAAATGCGGATCCCGGTTTTAAAAATTGTTTAAAAGTGATAAAAACAAGGATGGGACAAAACTCTTGCTGTCATCAGTTAGAAAAGAATCGGCCCCCAAATGTCAAAGTATTCACATCATCCCTTTCTTCATAGTGTTATTTATCATTAGAACAGATCTAACAAAATGATGTCGTTTAGTGAGCCTAAATCCTACTATATTTATGGGACTCTGAAAAATAAATCAAAAAAGAAAAATTTGAGGCATAGCAGAAGTTTTGCTAGCATTTTAAAGACAGGCAACATTAGTTTTTTTACATTGTTTTGTTCCAATTGTACAAATTTAATTTGCCATCTTTTAAAAAAAAACCCACACAATTGCTAGAAAAGGAATTAGTAGATGTAAGGGGGTTATTAAACATTGGCATTCACCCATTGCTCTTACACAGAAAAGGCAGCACTGAAAAAGACAAAGCTGATTAATATGAATGGCAGCTAACCTAAAAACTAAAACTTGAACAGAATGGTGTATGCTAATCTTGCTCAAATACAATTATGAAAGCTGAATTTGCTGGTGTTTGTCATTACTCTGCAGGCTGAGGGTTTATGTGAATGACATCTCTACAGTACTAGGCAATCCAGTAAGAAACAAAGAATTTTATCCACACTGTCAATTTCCCAACTGCCCTGTCCATCCAGAGCTGCTTGAATAGCAAAAGACTTTACAATCTAGGGTTATTTGTGATAAACTTCATCTAAAAACAACCCATTCATTACTAGAAATGTCCTTAATCCTCAAGTTGCCTGTAAGGAAAAGATTGAAATTCTGTGTTGTTTATTTGCTCTGTTGGGTCCACAACCAAAATAACTCAACATGTTAGCCACATTAATAAAATACCTGCCAGATCAAAAATCTTAATAATCAGCCTTAGTCATGCCATTGTTTATAGATGTTTGTTTACCAGCGTATCTGGAGACATAAGGAAAACCTTAATAGCTCTGGCCACTCATTAGCAAAGTACCATGGAGCCCTAATCCCATAAAGATATTAAACTATTTTTCCTTACAACAGCAACAAATGGAGGGAATTCTCATTACTTATAAAGATGTGGTACATTCTTTGCATATTGAGTTTCTTCTTATACTTTGAACTCTTATCCCTCATCATTCTATTTCTGAGGCTAAGATCAAAGTAGATCGGCCTTACAGAGCTACAGATGAGTGGACGCATTTCAGAGAATATTAATGCCCTCTTGAAGAGCAAAGCAGGGAAGGAGGTGTAATCCCCTAAAGAGCTAGCCCTGGGAGTCTAGTAATACTGAACAACTGTAGCATGCTCGATGGATCAGCTGTTAAAGAGTGTAGCCTCATGGAGGTGGAGCTGCTTCTCCTAGTTTAACAATGTGTCCCAATTCCCAAAGCAGTACTGAGACTACGTTTTTTTGGAACTGGCGAATCGTGTAAATGTGGATTCTGGCAGATTGGCATAGAGCAATGTGTTTTATAGTAGAAAAATAAGTGGCCAATTTTGTATTTTGCATTTCACTGTGTCTTGATTTTCTGGCCTCTCTAATTTGGGCTGATGACTTCTCTCCTCTGGTTTTAGATGTTACCTTTTGGTATTTTGCCTACTCAAAGGTTATTGTTACCGATGAACTGGCTGGACGTACTGGTGTGGGATCAGATAATGTTTTCCCTTGATCTCCCACTTCCAGCAGCTGATCCTGACATATAAGGTTTATTTTTTGCCTTTGGACTGCTTGCCAGACTTTTAAAGAGGAATTACTATAGACCCTTGTTAAAGCTAAGAGTAAACATGCTAAGTACTAAGGCATTTGGTGGGTATCATTATATGAAAAGAAGAAATGTTATATTCATTACAGAGGAAAATCTAGCAATAAAAAGTATTACCTGCATTTATAGCCCTTGTAACCTAATTTCTGTGACAAAGCGAAGAAGTAAAAACATTCCATTCTGCCTTTCAGTGACCCCTATAAGAAACCCCCCATGGAGTCATTTAGGATAGTAATTTGAGTGAAAATACATGCAGTCTTTACTTTGCTTGCTCGTCTTAAATTAAAAAAACCTTAGCAATGGTAAACATAACAGCATTTTAAGATGATTGCAAAATGCCTTCAAATTAGTAAGCAATTAAAAGAAATAATAACTTAAAAGACATTTTCCACAGCATAAAAGAGTGACAAAACATGGAGCTGTGTTGTGCAAATGTTAAATTGTACATAAAATACCCCTTCAATATATGCTGCCAGTAAAACCCAAGGCACTGCAGGTCATTAAAATGTCAGACTTGGGGCAGAGTGGAAAAAATGCTGTGTTTAAAAGTAAACATGTAGCCCTTTTATAATTATTTCCCCTTAAAGTTAACTGTGCAAAAGGTATGAAAGAAAGAAAAAACGAGTTTGCTCTTTCTGTGTTTCTAATGAACAGTGCTGCATCATCAGGCTGAAGGGTCAAACTATGATCCCCATTCCTGCCCCCCCATCCATGTAGTCAGTGGAGGTCTTGCCATTGATTCCAATGGGAACAGGATTGAGCTCTACTTATGGATCTTCAATTCATTTTCTTTTAGCCAGCTTTCATAAAAAGAAAACAGGATTGTACTCATCCATGGTGTAAACCCATTCACTTTACACCAAGAATGAACTGGATCAACACCTGTTTTAGAAAACACGGGGAGCCCAATAATCAAATATACATTCCTTAATAGGCTATCCATATGACACAAACCATCTCATACTGACAGATTAATGCCTGCTCCACTCACCTTTGTGGTAAGTGTCCAGATGTGGGGTTTGAGCATTATATTAAGGAGTTCAGACTACTACTGGGCCCAATCCCGTACTCCTCATACTAACTAAAAACCTGCATTGAAGTCAATGGAAGGTTTAGCCTGAATACAGAGTGTGAAATCTTATCCTACTTGGGCATAGCTAAGAGGTAATCTAATGTTACTTAGCTGAATCATCTGTTTAGTTTTTACTAGCTCATTGCAAATGAATCAATAGACAGCAATAGAATTACTTGTTTTACATTTGTGAAAATAAGAAGAGAAGAGATTTTACCAAGCCTGTTTCCACACTGAAAACACAAAATGGTGAGATATATGCTGTTGTATTCTGTAGTCTCTTGTCTTATTTCCAGAGCTCTCTAAGTCAGTCACAAAAAACAATGAGTCAGAAGGATATCAATCACATTCCAGTTTTGTTTCCCTCCTATTGGAAGAAAGTGCATCATGGCCCTGAATAAAAATGTTCCATCTCATTAATTTTGTATATTTTAAGCAAAATGTCTGGAGATGAAGTCGATCAATGTTTGCCCTGTATCATTTACTGAGTTGAGTGTCAAAGCCAATACCAAAAGATGCTTAATACCCCAGTTAAATTCAGTCCAATACGTTTAACTGAGAGAAGAACTGGACTCATAAAATTCAGATAAATGCAATGGTTATGAAATAAGTTTACTACTTTAAAACTAGAACTTCAAATTTGGGGCTAAATTCTGTCCTTGGATGCATGTTTTTCTTTTGTCTTTTCAGTCAATGGGGACTGGGAGCATGCATCTAAATTTGCCCCTTAGGGTATGTCCACACAGCTGCTGGGAGCGAATCTTGCAGCCTGGGTCAACAAGCTTGTGCTAGTACACTAAAAAATAGTAATGTGAACATTGCAGCTCAGAAACCCTGGGGAGTGGGGTGGGTGAGTTCAGAGCCCAAGCTGGAACATCAAAGGAATGTCTACACAACTATTATTAGTGCACTAGCCCAAACCCTGTGGGTGTGAATCTGTTGACCCAGCAGCTGTGTAGACATACCCTTAGTATCTCCTTTCCTTAAAACTACCTAATAATATTGCTGAAAATGTATGATGTCAGGATTACAATCAGCAATTAAATCAACATCCCTCTGGTTTCTATCTGATAAATGCAGAGTTCAGAGAGCAGGTCCACACTACGGGGTTACGTCAACCTAAGTTATGCAACACCAGCTACGTGAATAACATAACTGGAGTCGATGTACCTTAGGTCGACTTACTGCTGTGTCTACACCGTGCTGGGTCAATGGGAGAAACTTTCCTGTTGATTTACCTTATGCTTCTCGTTCGCCAGAGTCAACGGGAGAGTGATCGGCGGTCGATTTAGTGGGTCTTCACTAGACCTGCTAAATAGACCCCTGGTGGATTGAGCGAAACAGCGTCGATCCACGGTAAGTGTAGACAAGCCCAAAGTTAAGTAAAGAGACAGGAATGATTCAGAAAATGCCACGGTGAGAGTCAATGTTCAGTTAACCCTTCAATGCTTCTTTAACAGGCCTTTGCTTTAGAAACAGTTTTTATCAGAAGAAAAGATTTTCATCACTACATGAAAAAAATATACATGAATTTCTGTGATAAAATATACTATACTCAAAGTGCAAACATATGGAAGAATATACTCTCAGATATTTAATTTCCAATATTTTTATTTATAATACCTATATTCTAATATATTTGAAGGAAAATCAAATGTATTAGAAAGTGCAAGTATACTGGACCATATTTAACCTTGGTGTAAGTGAATGAGCCAAAACCTGATCAGAAGAATCCAAAGACTTACGTCTTCTAGACAGACTAAGACAGTGGTGGGCAACCTGCGGCCCCCATGCAGCCCATCAGGGTAATCCGCTGGCGGGTCATGAGACAGTTTATTTACATTGACTGTCCACAGGCCCAGCCGCCTGCATGTCCCAGTGGCCGCAGTTCGCCGTTCCTGGCCAATGGGAGCTGTGGGAAGCAGCGGCCAGCGTGTCTCTGTGGCCTGCCCCACTTCCCACAGTTCCCATTGGCTGGGAACGGCAAACCACAGCCACTGGGAGCTGCGGGCGGCCGTGTCTGCGGATGGTCAATGTAAACAAACTGTTTTGCGGCCCACCAATGGATTACTCTGACAGGCCGTGTGTGGTTCTCGGGCCGTAGTTTGCCCACCACTGGTCTAAGACTTAAGTGTCTACCTCAGGCATCTGAACCAGAGCTGAGTAAATAATTCATAATGAAGAACAGATTTGAATTTCACTTCTTTTTTCCATTCATGAATTGTCCCAATTCTATTTATTTACATTTTTTCAGAAATGGTGACTCCAGTTCAGCAAAGAACTTAAAGCTCCCGAGTAGCCCTACAGAAGTCAGTGAGACAACTCAAATGTGTGCAGCTAATATATCTTTGGTGTATGTAAAAAGCGCACTTCGCTGGTTTGCTACATACCACAAATGCCATCGTTACTGTCTTTTGACTTATAAAACTAACAGCCGCCAATTCAGAATTGCAAATATTAATGTAAAATGTGTATGTTGAGCTTAAACTCAATGGACTTTTCATAAATTCATAGAGTTTAAGGCCAGAAGTGATCTCCCGTATATCACAGGCCATTCCATTTCACCCAGTTACCCCTGTATTGTACCCTTTGCCCGTGTTTGCTACAAAGTTGGCAGAAAGTGAACATATCAGGACAAATTTGTATGACCTTCAAATAAAAAAGTTAACTCTGTGTGTGTCTTCCTTCTTATTTTCCATGTTTTCTTCTCATCTTCTCAGTGCTCTGTTTCCTCCCTCTTCTGAAGTCTGCACAGGTACCAGGGAGAGTGGGTGAGGGAATGGTGCTCTTTGGGAGCCAGAGGGTGCACAGAGAAGGGGACAACATTGTTGTTCCCTCAAACTAAAATTTGAGAAGACTTGTCTAGGGGATTCATCCAGCGAAAGGAAAGGACATAACACCATTTTCCTCTTCCCTCCCTTTCACTCTTTAATACAACCCGTAGTGACCCTGGCTTCTGTCCCTAGCATTTAATGCAATTATTAACTCTGCCTCCCATATGCCCCACTCCCTTTTTGTCTCTTCATCCCCTCCTCCAATTCCACCACCCCCCAGCTCCAATTCTGATCTGTTTTCCTGCCTGTTCTGCATTCTCTGTTACCTTCCAATGGGTATTTCAATGATGAGTGAAGCATGCTTTAGATAATATTTATTTAGGGCTAGATTGTAGAGTTACCGCTAATCCTGAGAAAGGGGAAGCCTGAAGTTGTACTGCCCCAGGAGAAGAACAGGGACCAAATTCTGGCTCATACTTACTGTTTGGTACTTGACTTCCCTAACTTGCTTCTCTGAGCCAGGAGGGGGGAGTTAATCTGTGCCAGCCCTTTGCCTGGTGCCGATTACTTTCCTGTGGGCCAGCTCAGCCTTTCTGATCAGGGTGTGGGACTGTGGGGCTGCTGTGTAGATGTCCCCTTCCTACTTCTGCCTATCCATCCCCAGGGGTTGGACTAGATGACCTCCTGAGGTCCCTTCCAACCCTGATATTCTATTCTATGATCTACATGGGGGAGGCCCTGTGGAGGTTGTTTGCACTGCTGTGCTCTATCCCACGATGCAGAGGAGCCAGAGAATGCCTGCAGCTCCTTAGCACCTTGCTGAGCTATGTAATCTTGTCCTTAATTAATGAAAGAAATAACTTATAAAGGGAACACAGTAGTGAGGCTACTGGTTTTATTCTTTCTGCACCTGGTCTCTGACTCTCCATGCATGAATCAATGGGTGGTGTGACACTGCACAGTGCCCTGAAGGATGTGTGGCACCTCTGAAGTAGCCCTCTCCAGCATATCTCCACTTTTAATTGTGTTTTTCTAAATTCCTTGACTGAACAAATTGGAACATGTACAACGATTTAGCATACCCTTGTTTGTATTGTTACGACAGTACCAACAGGTTTCAATCAGTATTCGTGGACATGCCAACAGTTTTCTGGATCTACTGTAAAGTAAAATGTCGTTGTGTGTCTCCATATCTTTAACAGTCTCATCAGTCTTTTTCACATTGTCCAAAACAGGCTCAATCCACAAAGTTTGTGTTTTCTTGATGCATCTGTGCTCACTTCACTCTTCTATGCATGCTTGTTTATCTCATTCACGTTCTCAGTTACCTTTAGTAGCTATCTACAATTACTTCATAAAATCTTACCACTTTTATGTGATCACTGAATGTGAACAAAGTGACATTTTTTTATTCACGATAGCTTTTTCTGGCCAGCAACCCTTTTGCCAGTTTCTAATAGAGTCTTTGTTTTCTAAATTCAATACAAATCTTTTACCTTAGTAATAATATTGTATCTGTTGTGAGCTGTCTAACCTGTTTGCCAAAATCCAGGGTTATTTATCATCTTTTGATTATGTCTCATATCTGGTAATTGAGTACGTATTTACCTTTTTATTTAACCTTAAAGACACAAGGCCTTATTTTTGCTGTTGGATTGTTTGTAGGACTGCAGAACTAATGGTGTTACAGCACCCTAAGATTCTGAAATGTGAGCAATTGAGATCAAAGAGATATTTTGGTCAGATTATTTCAAACTAGAACTGTCAAGCGATTAAAAAAAATTAATCGTGATTAATCGTGCAATTAATCACACTGTTAAACAATAATAGAATACCATTTATTTAAATATTTTTGGATGTTTTCCACATTTTCAAATATATTGATTAACACAGAATACAAAGTGTACAGTGCTCGCTTTATATTTATTTTTTATTACAAATATTTGCACTGTAAAAAAACAAAAGAAATAGTATTTTTCAATTTACCTAATACAACTTTGTAATGCAATCTCTTTATCATGAAAGTTGAACTTATGAAAAGAAAGACAAGAAGAAAGAAAGGAAGAAAGAATACAATGTCCTCACTCTGAGTTTGAAGCAACAAGCCAGAGGCAGCTTTATTACGAGCAATTGCAATTGGTCGGGAGAGTACACACGGGCAGGGATTCCCCTCCCTAGACAGGTCTCCGCTAGATAAACAATTCGGGCAAGCTTTTATACCTTTTGTTACATACCATAATGAGCAACAGCTGCATTTTGTTATACATATTTCTTTTTGATATCTTACTTTTTTTTATTAATTTCTACCACAGTCTACATTCCATTCTTATCTAACACAAGGTCAAAACAGTATTTCTTACTGTCTGTTTCCACCCACCTAGGCCCTGCCTTCAAGTCTCACGTTATTAGAGTTGGTGTCAGCCTGACTTTGTTAGCCTGACTCTTGCTCTATTCCTAGAGACTAAGATATCTATGTTCAAATTCCCTTTCTCCCTTTCTTCACTTCCACACTTACAAATGTAGATTTATGTACAAAAAATAACTGCATTCAAAAATAAAACAATGTAAAAATTTAGAGCCTATAAGTCCACACAGTCCTATTTCTTGTTTAGCCAATCGCTCAGACAAACAAGTTTCTTTACATTTTCAGGAGATAATGCTGCCCACTTCTTGTTCACAATGTCACCTGAAAGCGAGAACAGGTATTCTCATGGCATTGTTATAGCTGTCATCTCAAGATATTTAAATGTCAGATGCGTTAAAGAGTCATATGTCCCTTCATGCTTCAACCACCATTCCAGGGGACATGCATCCATGCTGATGACGGGTTCTGCTCGATAACAATCTAAAGCAGAGCGGACTGACACATGTTCATTTCATCATCTGAGTCAGATGCCACCAGCAGAAGGTTGGTTTTCTTTTTTTGGTGGTTCGGGTTCTGTAGTTTGTGCATTGGAGTGTTGCTCTTTTAAGACTTCTGATTGACTCCACACCTCATCCCTCTAAGATTTTGGAAGGCACTTCAGATTCTAAAATCTTGGGTCAAGTGCTGTTGCTATCTTTAGAAATCTCACATTGGTACCTTCTTTGTGTTTTGTCAAATCTGCAGTGAAAGTGTTCTTAAAATGAACAACGTGCTGAGTCATCATCATCCGAGACTGCTATAACATGAAATATATGGCAGAATGCAGGTAAAACAGAACAGGAGATATACTATTCTTCCTCAAGGAGTTCAGTCACAAATTTAATTAACGCATTATTTTTTTAACAAGCATCATCAGCATGGAAGCATGTCCTCTGGAATGGTGGCTGAAGCATGGAGGGGCATATAAACATTTAGCATATCTGGCATGTAGATACCTTGCAATGCCGGCTACAGAAGTCCCATGCAAATGCCTTTTCTCACTTTCTGGTGACATTGTAAATAAGAAGTGGGCAGCATTATCTCCCATAAATGTAAATAAACTTGTTTGTCTTAACAATTGGCTGAACGAGAAGTAGGACTGAGTGGACTTGTAGGCGCTAATGTTTTGCATTGTTTTGTTTTTGAGTGCAGTTATGTAACAACAAAATCTACATTTGTAAGTTTCACTTACACAATAAAGTGATTGCACTATGTCTGAGATTGCACCTCACTTGTATGAGGTGAACTGAAAAATACTGTTTCTTTTGTTTATTATTATTTTTTACAGTGAAAATATTTGTAATAAAAATAATAATATAAAGTGAGCAGTGTACATTTTGTATTCTGTGTTGTAATTGAAATCAATCTATTTGAAAATGTAAAATGACATCCAAAAAAGATTAAAACTGTGATTAATCGTGATTAATTTTTTTGAGTTAATTGCATGAGTTAACTGCGATTAATCGACAGCCCTATTTCAAGCCCTTTCTTTTGTTGTGGTGGTGGTGGTGGTTTTTTGTTGGTTTTGGTTAACCTCTATTTAGATAAAAGTTCTCACAATTACAGTGTTGCCAACTCTTGTGATTATATTCTGAGGGCTGTGACACTTCGAGTTATTCTTAAAACCCCAGTTTCTGAAGTTATGTGAATATCTGAGAATTGCAGCTTTTTTTTTTAAAGTTTTTAGCTTTCATGCTTGTGAAGAAAAGCATGAAAATGTAACACTCCTTTCCCACTGTACCATAAAAGATCAAAACCAAAAGGCAAATAAAAGAACCTTACATGTATTTTTAACTTCATGTTTTTTAACGCAATCTTGTGACTTTTGGGGGGGGGGGGATGGGAGGCTGACATGATATTTCAATGTTTACCTCTCAATTGCAGTATTCTAGTCTTTTGTTGTGAAACCTCCAGTTCTCTTCTCCTCTAGAGACAAAGGAATCATCCAGCAAAACCAGAGAAGCAAAGAGTTCATGTTCTCGATATTTCTGAGGTAAAAACAAGCAGGAAAAAACCCTCTTAAAAACAAAAGAAAACAAAATCCCCTCAACTCTCAAGCCTTTCAGGTTTTCTTTCTACCCCATGAGGATGCAAAAAAGGGCAGGGACACATTTTTTTTGTCTTCATTTGCAGGTCATCTTTAAACCATGTGAAGTGAGATTTATATGTGAATTGGAGTATTTTTCTAAAGCAGTAAATTGCCTATTTTGACATGCTAGGCTCTCCACCACAGCCTCGTCGCCTATTTAAATTAGAAGTGAGGCAATGGGGACAGATAATGACCTCTTCATTAATGAGCCCACTACTTTTAATTACTTTTAGATTTAGGAGAAATCTAACAGGTTTTATGAAAGTGCCTCCTGTTTAATTAGCAAAAATCTCCTTTTGTTAGGAAAATGGGGTTGTGTGATAGAAAGAAGGAAGTCATACTGAGAAAGATGTAATTCTTCCCAGCATCTCTGTGGCGTAATGGGACATTTGACCCTGTTTCAGCAAGGTATTTAAGCATATGCTTAATTTTAAGCATGTTAGTTGACCTACTGATATCCAGCATGTGCTTAAGTAACTTGCCGAATTGGGGCTTTAAATATGTCCACTATTATCGACAATGCAGAATGCAACCAAATGTTTTTTTAAAAATTATTATTATTTTGGGAAGAGACTAAATTCTCAATGAAGTCAATGGATAAAAGTGGCAGGGGAGTGTATGTATTAGGATAAACATTTTTCTTTTGACAGAAACTCATTCAGAAGCAAACCAGGTCAAGGGATGATTTACGAAACTGTCATTGTCATATGGTGTTAATGTGATAGCTGGTTTCAACTGACATCTGTGAGAAACAGTTGGACATACCTCTTCTTTTGCATGAACTAGAGTTTCTAATTAATTATGCAAAGCTGAAAAACAAATAAGAGTAGACTGAAAAATAATAGCTAAAATCTAAGATAAGGTGTACTCTCACACCTTGTTCAGTTATCGATACCCATTGCATTGACCACAATGGTTTTATTTTGACAATGGACTTTTACCAGCAATAACATATATTACTGATAGCACTATAACTGATTCTAAGACTCTTTTATGTTATGATTTACAATCTCTGTAAAGCTAAAGCGTTAATATGGGCAAAATCATGCAACATGAAATTGGCATTCATTAACATGGGTTACTTTGCATACAATACAATACAAAATTTCCTTCAGTATCAGGCAAGTTGTCTTTTTTCCATTTATGTGTTTCAATGATCTAGCAAGTTTACTGTGTACAACAGAAAAAAAAATCCTGCATCTGTTTCTCTTTCAATATATGAGAGCATTGAACATACAACACAAGGTTATGTTCAACACTCAAGTCTTTTCTTGTTGTCACAGTTCTCTTCCATACCATTGTTCGCACAGTGTTCTCTGTTCATGTTATCAAATGTTATACCATCACTTTCATCAAAACATCAGGCATGTTGAGTTATCCATGTGACCACCAAGGAGCATATCATCCCAATTTGCATATCAGAGTATCATTTTATCATTTTCATAACCATGTCTGAGTAGAATCATCCCATGGTTTAGTAACCTTTTATAACTGTGGAACTTTCCTGGGCTTTTTGACCTTTAATCTCATTCTGGAATACGTTTTTTTCTTTGAAAGAGAAATTGTCTTCTCAGCTATAACTCAGTAGAAAAACCTTGCATAGAAACACTATTTTGTAAGCTCTTTGGGACAGGGAATCTCTCACTGTTTGTTTGCACAGCATCTAGCACAATGGGCCCTGATCTCAGATGGATCTTTAGGCACTACCTCAAAACAAATATTAAATATAATACTAAATAGAATAATACTGATTAAGGGCCAGATTTCCAGAGGCCTGCAAACAAACAAGAGAAGGTGCCAAGTTAGGAGTGGGAAGAAATCACACCATGAACTGCCTTCAAGAGCCTTTCAGCAGTCTTGGCACTCATGACTTGACTTCTATTTTGGGGATATCCTCCTTAAGCATAGACAATCAAGTCATTAGTTGCTGGGGCTGTCTGAGGTCCCCCAAAAGCGAGGGCCCCCAAGAAGTGCTTTGGTCCTGCCTCCACTGTGTAACACTGACTTCACCTGCAAAATCTCAGATACGAAAACAATTGTTTTGATCTGTAAATCACATGCTTGCATGCATTAACAGCCTGTTTGCACGTGCAGCAACAGGATTTGCGTGCACATGTGCAGGATTTTGCAGGCAAACCAGCTGCATGCCCTCCCCATGCACAGACCTTTGGAAATCAGCCCCTTATCAGTACACTTAGAAGCGAATGTGTTTGAAGGCAAAGTAGTTGCAAACTAGTTCCTCTTCTACTTGTCTACCAAGGCATGAGGTACAAAGATTCTTCTTAATGACATCACAAAAACTGAAAGCAATGCTACTGCATTTTTTAAAGAAAACCTACACAAAATTACAGTGATTGCATCATAGTCAATGATTGAATTATCATCATAATTGCTGAAAACTATCAAAGTCTCAGAGGTTTGTTATTTGTAATACTGAGGCTCTGATCAAATAGTATAAAGGACTGATTTAACTAGTGATTAGATTAGAGTGCAGAACTATGTAATTACAGTGACATTCGATATTAGAAGAAACTCCATCATTCAGTGACTGAGACTGATCTGTCTTACCTTGTCACATCAAAATCCAGCATGCTTGTCCAAGGCCCCAGTGTAGTGACATCAAGAGCAAAAGAGATGAAGACGGTGTTCTTATATGTATCAGGCGACAGCTTCAGGAGCAGAGTGCATAGAGCGCGTTCTTCTGAAGTAAGCAATCAAGCCGACCTATTCCTGGCTCTCACACACCAGAGGAAGTTGTTTCTGTGTTGCCTAATAACTTATAGACCGTCCACTAAGCATTGTGAGTTCTGCAGTTCCCACATAGGGTTTGAAGAAAAGGAGTTAATTGGGCCATACTGGAAATATATGATCTGATCCTCAGCTGGCATAAATTGATGTAGTGCCATTGTCTTCATGGAGCTACACTGATTTACATCCCCTGAGGATCTGGCTTTTGGGCCCAACTCTGCCACACTTACTCACACACTGAATAATACCTTACTACGTGAAGAATCCCATTTACATTCAAATGGGACCGACTACTCACTTAGTAAGTACCACCCAATGGACCAGCTTGTGAACTCCTTACGCCCCATTGTTGGGCATCTAGTTGCATGATTAATCCCATTTACTCCATTGAGACTACTTGTGTAAGTCAGTAAAGGCTCCACAACCCAGCCCAAGGTGAATAAAAATGCCAAAATCAAGCTGTTAATAAGTACCCGGGCTGGTCACTAACCTGTTGCAAGCTAGCAAGGTGATACAATTGGTAAATAGGCTAATATAATTCTGGGGTGTCATATGTAAGACAGGTGAGATAATACTTCTGCTCGACTCGGCACTGGTGAGGCTTCCGCTGGAGTACCATGTCCAGTTGTGGGCACTACACTCTAGGAAAGATGTGGATGAAGAGGAGAGCAGAAAACATGATAAAAGGTTTACGAAACCTGACCCTATGCTGAAAGGTTTAAAAAACTAGGCATGTGTAGTCTTGAGAAAAGAAGACAGAGGGGGTGTGACATTGGCACACCAGGTGCCAGCTCATGCCAAGGCCCAGGGAACTGAACACTGACAAATGCACAGCTGGAAACCAGTCTGACTTACCTGTGGGTTAGTGTAGTTAAAATAGATATTAGTGTTATAACAATGCGTTTAGATTTTATGGAATGCTTGTAAGAGGCTGCATGTTTTAATCCTACGTATAATATCCGTATTCCGTGGTATAAAGTTGTATTGAGTGTTTGCATTGTAAACCTCTGTAAGCATTAGTTAAGGTAAAGTGCTCGACTTGCACACAAGTCAAACGAAGGCAAATGAAGCATTGTGTGGCATCAAAGGACAGTGATCGAGTTGATTGCATTCCTCACTCCCTCCAGGAAGCAGTGGCTTGTACATGAACTCATCCCATCTGCTTGGATTCTGGAGTGAAGGAGATAAAAATCCCTGACAGGAGAAACTGGGATCTTTATGCTGTCTGGACTCTGAGGTGCAAAGATTCCTAAACATATGCAAGAGAGCCCGATGCTGCTTGGCATGAGTCAGCTCTAAAGGGCATATAGAGCTGATTATGGAAGCTTATATTAGCTTTTTAACTCTAAAACGGTAACTCATTTGTGTGTGTGTATGTTTCTTGTTTTAACCTTGTCCATAACTTTCATTTATTTTCTTAGTTAATAAATCTTTAGTTAGTTTATTACAGGATTGGCTACAGGCATTGTCTTTAGTTTGAGATACGAGTACAATTGTCCTGGGATAAGTGACTGGTTCTTTGGGACAGGGAACAATCTGAATATTGTTGAGATTTTTGTTGCAAAGTGACCATCTATCACATAGTCTAGCTTGCCCGGGTGGCAAGATAAACTGGAATGCCCAAGGGGACTGTCTGTGACTCGATGGTTAGGCAATTACTGTGCTTTTGTTACTGGGTTGGTGAAATCTAATTATAAAACATACAACCAGTTTGGAGTTTCTGCCCTGCCTTTTGACAGTCTGCCCTGACTCACGGTCACGAGCCACTCCAGACACTGTGATGGGGGGCGGAAAGGGCACTAGATAACATGGTTAAATATGTTGAGGGCTGTTGGTCTCATCAACGGTTCTCCATGTCTACTGAAGGCAGGACAAGAAATCATTGACTTAATCTGCAGCAAGATAGATGTGGGTTAGATATTAGGAAAAACTTTCTAACTATAAGGATAGTTAAGTATTAAATAGGTTGCCAGGAATCCCTGTCCTTGGATGTTTTTAAGAACAGGTTAGACAAATACCTGTCAAGAATGTTCTAAGTTTACTTGGTCCGGTCTACGCATGGGGGGATAAATTAGATGACCTAGTTTATCCCCCCATGCCTATCCAACTGTACATTTTTATGATGCTATGATAGGTACTAGTACCACAAGCTGCATATTTTAAATGCTGTCTTTGGCAGACATTTTGCAGCCATTGTAACTTTTCTGCCACAGAGAAGAACTGCAAGATAAAAACATATGTCAATAATTTGATCATATTGTCCATGGGGTATCAACAGTCTAAAGAGAATACAAAGAGTTCAGTGCAAAATATCAGAACAACAAAGAGCAGGAATTAGGATGTGCACTCTGCCTTTCCATTGTTCATGTATTATGTGTTGCATCAAGTTGGGCTATATCCTATTACGCTTCCTTGTGACAAGCAAATGTAATACGATCCCATATAATGGGATAGGAGGAAATTTTTTGGTTATGATTTGCTGTGTACAAATATCACAGAAGTACTTGGGTTACCTATAGGGAAACACAAATACACAGGATTTTCTTGGCACATACTCTACCACATTATAATAGCCTATTGATTTGCATATTCTTTCTGATTATTATCTGGTAATTGAGCTAAGTAAATACATACTGTAATTACCATGTACCCTACAGTAGCATCTAGTCTGAAGAATAGAATTAACCATGTATTTATGCTATAGCTACATAGCAATCTGTATTCTATAACAAATGAATAGTAGTTTATATATAAAGATAATAAAAGACATGGCTTGCCCACTCTGAGTCACAGGGATGCCACACAGGCATATGCATTCATGCAGATGGATCGCATTGCTGAGCGGAGGCCCATTGTTATATTATCATTTCTCTACCAGGTTAGGTAGTAAACAACCATTCATAAGTCCACGGAATGTGTTCAGAAAAAAATGCCTTGTGTTGCAACATACATAAATCGCTTGCCAACTGCTTTGCCAACAAACTGGCAACCTCAGAGATGATTCTCTCATATCCTCAGGAAGACGATAAAACCCGTTCTGACCAAGAGCCAGTAGAAATGTTGGCAGATCATAGCTGGATGAGTGAATCCACAATAAATGATGTCCTTGATAACCAGGAAGTGTTTGTCAATGATGTTTGCAAAATCCAGATACTTCCTTCACTGAGAGTGGTGGAGGAGAGGAGATTTCAATAAAATGATTTAATTAATATATTTAATAAGTATGTATTCCATCAGAATTCTAATTGATACAAATTATTTTTCCAAGTGTTCAAAAATGAATACAGATTGGAAAAACTTAGACAAAGCAGAAGCATCTACTATAGAAATACAATACTATCAGATGTAATGTATTCCCCATTTTCTTGACAGCTATTTCCTTTACCTTTTCTCCTTCAGGTTCTGAAGGCAAAAATTGGCAAATAGATACAGGAATAACTAGTCATTGTGAGGTTTCAGAGTAGCAGCCGTGTTAGTCTGTATCCGCAAAAAGAAGAACAGGAGGACTTGTGGCACCTTAGAGACTAACAAATTTATTAGAGCATAAGCTTTCGTGGACTACAGCCCACTTCTTCTATATGCATCCGAAGAAGTGGGCTGTAGTCCACGAAAGCTTATGCTCTAGTCATTGTGAGAACCTCCTTTCCATGGCCAGAATGAGGGCTATATTTGACATCCTCCAGGCCTAGTGCTCTTCCAAAAGTTCACCTTCTGAAAACTCATCCATTGTAAATTCTTATTAAATGCAAAGCTTCCTTTGAATGCCCATAGATTCACAGAAATTCTGTCAGTGCTGGATTGCTCCCTACAGTATCTTATCTAGAAGTTATTTTTGAAAACAATAGATTTAATTCAGCACAGTTTCCCTTTATAATTAATGGCGTATATTTCTTCCTTTTACCAGAAGTGCCTGCACATTTCAGTATAAGACTCGTCCAATCTGTTTGGGGTTTATCCCCTCAATCTGGAAAATGCATGATGTTAGTATTGCTCAAAGAACTCACTTGGGATGTCTTTGTCCCATAGTTTGCAGAACTATCAACCCCATTGAGGGCTCAAAGGTGCCATTTAGGCATAGCCCACAATAAGAGGCAACGCCTCCCAGAGCTCTATTGTATTAATTTAGATGTTATATATGGCCCAAAGAGTGAAAGGTGTTATCATCACCCAGCCACCATCCAACATTAAACAGGGCTCGGGATTTGGTACACAGAGAACTCAGCCTGCTTAGTGCCATAGCACAAATCCAAGAATATTCATGATGCAGGTCAGATATGTATTGATTAAAACACACAAAAGGAAAGAATCATAAGGCAAAACCCACTGAAACTGAAATTGAGTGAAGATGCAAAACAAACAATGAAAACCTATCACCCTCTTTTAAAAGTAGGTGATTACTGGCTAGAATCTCTTATTCTGTCTTTGGCGGGGAAGAAAAGGTTAGTTCTGTTGTTCAGATCTAATTTGGGAATAATAATCACTTTCCTGCTTTTGACAAAGCAGACAGACACAAGGTGGAGGAATGGTAGGATAGTGAAGATGAGGGAACTACAGCTTCTGTTGATGTTCTCAGGATAGAGGGTGGTTGGTCAGTCATGGATGGATGCTTTAGGCTGGCAGGTCAGTCGGCCACCACAGCTGTTGCTCTGGCTTCTGGCTTGCCTCGTCATCTGATTGTTCTGGTCAGGTCTCTCTACTTCACTGGTGCTTTTCAGGCTGAGCAGAGCTGTACTAGTTTTGGGCAGTGCAGCTGATTTCAGGATCAAGTACAAAGACAAGACGGAAAGAGAGAGGACAGGAGGGAGATAGAGGGGGATGGAAAGACAGAACAGGATCTCACACGTATTACACTGGGGTCCTCGTTGGCACAGCAATGATGGTCCCCATTGGATTATCAAGGTCTGATGTCACAACAACAATCCTTCTGCCACAGCCATGAGGGTGTTGCTTTTTGCCTCTTTTCAAGGGCCCAAAAGGGGCAATAGACCCATCCTTTCATTAATTTGCCCATCAATTAGGCCTAATTTTCAAAGCACCAATTTT